AACTCTAAAGGGAGTGCTGTGCCCCCTAGCTGTCTCTTGGCCCTCATTTCAGACTCACTGGGGTTGCCTTGTTGGGGTCAGGACTTAGGGGTCGTGGTCACATCGATATTAGAGCTAAGGTACAATAAAGTATCATACAGGATATATATAGGAGGAAGAAATGAATGGAAGCGGACCCGGGCCGGAGGCCGAGGGGTCCAGAAGCAAACAAGAATAAGGAGCGGGGTTGGCTGCATAGCGGCCAGCAATGACCGAGGGTCAAAACAAACAATAACAGATAAATAAAGGAAGGAGCATAGGGCCATGATAGCAGCGATGGTATCATAGTGGCACTGGACTCGGAGTTGGGCCGGAGTCAGGCGTGGGAATGGTAGCGGCCCTGTAGGGGCCAAGTGGGCGGGGTAGAGGAGTCGCGCTGGGCACGGTGCCGGAGGTGGACTCGGGGTAGGAAGGTTGGTGTGGCAGCAGGGGAGTCGGCCAGGGGCAGGGGAGCCTAGGGGCAAGCGGGGGAGTGAGCAGGGAGTCCTCATGGAGGATAGAGCCAGGGTTGGGGCTTGCGCTCACGCTCGCATAGTGGGAACGGGCTCAGGCGGCATCAGGACAGGTGGGGAACAGGCCGGAATGCATGGCCGTGACACCCCCTCCACCCCAGACGCGTCCCTGACAGGTCAATGCTGACACCACAGGAGTAGTGGCAGTGGCAGCCAGGGCATAGGAGGGACTGTTGTGATGGAAATGGAAATTTCCCATTTCTAGCCTCTTATGGGCCCTGTGTACTATATTATCATGTGACATGTAAATAGTAACAACTTATCCATCTACCATCCTACAAAAAGCCCCATGTCTATGTCATTGTAAACTGTTAGATGAACGTGCGGAGTTGTCAGGAAGCGGAGAAGGGACTCAGGTGTGGAGGGACCTTGGCCTCAGCGACTCAAGTGGAGTGCTGTGCCACTGCTTGTTGTCTAAGGTGGTCCTTAACTTCAGGTTAGCAGGGAGAGTCTCTTTGGGGGACAATCCAGTCGTCATGGTTGTCGATTTCAGACTGGGGGTACAGGAATCTATGTACAGAGTACATATATATATAATGATACAGGAGTGGAGTCAGAGAACAAAGGGAACTGGAAGGAGGACAAAGGGGGACTGGATGAGGGAACAACCCCAAGGGCCAAGGGTTGGAACTCTATGGTGCTTCCCAAAAGGGCAAGGCCAAGAGGGGAAGGAGTGGAGGGGGTTGTGGGGAATGACAGCTGACTAATATGGAAAGGAAGCAGCTGTCTAAATAAGGAGGAGGCAACAAGAGAATTAAATGACACCATACAGTAGAGACTGCAGGGTCTGGAGTAAGTTCTGGAGGTCCGGAGTTGGAAGTCAAAGTCCGGAATATTGGCTAGACGTAATAAATGAAATGTAATAAGGAATACAAGGAGATAAGACAGAGGAGGAGGTCAAAGTCTGGAGGCAGAGATGTGACGTCTGGAGGTGGAGGTGTGATGGGGTTCTGGTACAGGAGTCTGGAGCCAGAGGTATGGAGCATTGCAAACTCTGGTCTGGAAGGTATGAGGTTGGGATTGGACCCAGAGTAAACTGGAGTTGGACCGGAGGTAGTGTTGGACGTTGTGTTGGAGCCAGAGGTAGAGTGGGCTCTCAACAACCAACAGGGGGGGGAGGTGGTGGAGGATGTGGAGTTCTGGAGGAGGAGATGGAGGTCCAGAACAGGAGCAGAGGTCTGGAGTTGTATGGATATGACATAAACCCACTTCTGTCATAATATCTGTAAACCTGACCTATGTCTACCCTATCCCCTGCACCTGAACACTATAGAGATGGGCCAATTTGGCCCCATTTTTATAACAACTGTGCATGACTTCGAATGAATAAGAGTGGACATGGTGCATTGTTATGACTTAGTAGAAGTACTTACATCTTTTTGGCACTTCTACCTTTGATGCAAGTGAAACTTCTGCAAGGTGCACACCAATTGCCCTGGGGTCTGCACTCTAATTGGGAGGTACTCTCCAAAAGTGTAGTCCTGCATCATGAAATCATGAGGTGTCATGACATGTCATGACAATTGAATTGAATCAGACATTTTTTACATTGAAAATTTTGGATTTCATGACAGTTCATGACAAATTGTCATGAACCATCATGAACTGTCATGTGCTGACAAGGTTCATGACTGCTGGTGACACAATATGACTTGATGCCTCATGGAGGTTCATGAGTGGTCATGATGTTCATGAACCTTCATGACCTTTCATGACAGGTCATGAAGGTTCATGCAGTGTCATATGTTTATTTTGACCTTTCCCCATCATGTAAAATGCTATAATGTCCACTTATGAACTGTCATGTGACAGACCTTATTTGTGACAGCACTGACTGATCAACCTCCAACTCATGGACTTGTGTTGGCACTGCATTGAACTCTGCTTTTCCTCCAGCCACCTTTGCTGCTTGGTGTCAGAAATGGTGCTTGAGGGTATTCATGGGAAGTGGAGCAGAGTATGGCAGTGTGAGTGATCAGGTTACTCCATTGCAAGGCATCAGGGGGTTGGGATGTTGGTTTCAACAACTCAGTGGGAGTGTTGTGCCACACGCTCTAGGCTATCCTGTATTTCAGGTGTAGCAGAGGGAACCTGGTGGCGATGTAGGCTCAAGTGAAGACAAAGTCAGAGGTGAACTATGGACAAGAGGACTTGGGGGGTATTCTAGTTGACATTCAAACTTGGGTACATAGGTAGTATACTATCTACAATTCATAAATACAAAAGGGAGAACAGAAGAGGGGCTGGTCAGTCTGGCACCTGAATGGGAGGCAGAGTGGTGAACGTGACAAACTAAATGAGGGACGAGAACCAGGGAGACAGAGAGTGAGAGAATGAAATGAACAATTAAACAAAGAGGCAAAGTAGGGAGGCTGTCACAACCAACAATTCCCAGGGCTCCATCAGCGGCGAATCAAAGCCGATAGGTGAATCTGCTGACCCAAAACCCGATCCAACCAGCCCTCAATCCGATGTCTGGCCCCCTGCCCTATCGAGTGAGACTTTGCCAACAATCAGACCCTGGACCCTGCTGGCATTCCAACTTCACTTCCAGTTCCCGAGCCTTTGGTGCTCCCGGCATCCAGTCCCTCTGGTTCCTCCTAGGCCTATAGCACAACTCGGTCTCACACCCCTGCCTCTGCATCCTCCACATATTTCGCATCTTCCACATCTGGGCCTCTGCCCACCTCTGCACCCTCTGCACCCCTGCCACTCCTGGTTGACCTCCACACCCTGTAGTCAGGTCAACACTCCCCTCTGTACCTTTGCTGGCCATCATGCTGTCCTCATTTGTGACAGCACTGATGGACCACCCTCTGTTGTGGACTTATCAGCGCCATGCTGATTCCCACATCCCATTTCGTGGACTTGTGTTGGTGCTGTGCACCGACCCCACTTTTCCTTTGGCCTTTTGCCACTCGGCAGCATTCATTCATTCCTTGCCGAGTGCCTATTATGTTCACCCATTTCATTTGCTTAACTTGCCAATATTGGGACTTGATCCGTGTGCTATTGCACTTTCCTATTCATTCATTTAATCTGTCAATATTGGTACCTGATCTGCTTTGACTTTATTCATTCCTTGCCTCCCATTTCCCAGGTTCTCATCCTTGGTTTAGTTTGATAAGTCCCCACTCATTTCCGCTTATTTCTGCACCGGACCGACCGGTCCCTCTTTTGATTTCTCTTACCTACTTATACCTTGTAAATACTTTCGGGGACCTCAGTCTGAAATCAACTAGAGTACCCCCCCCTGTCTGGTCTGAGTCCCTCCTTCTGCGAAGGGGGCTTCCCCCCTCTGAGTCCGTGCTCCTCCTACAGGTCCGCTCTGCCCACAAGTCTTGTTTGAAGTCCACTGTAAGTGTCAGTCTGTAAATACAGGATCTCCCCCAAACGTCAAGCTCAGGGCACAGTGCTCCACCTGAGTCGCTGAGGCCACAATCCCACTCTGCTAACCTTGAACAGTGCTTCCAGATGCACCGCATATTTCTGCCCACATATCCATGCGTGCGTGCTCCAACAGGCTTCCACCACAATCTTCGACCCTGACTCAGTGTCAGGGCACATACCCTGACTTAGCCCGGACCCGGACCCGCGTCCGGACCCGCTCCACTTCCCGCGCTGAAAGAGGGCTCGCGGCTCTCTATGCCGACTAAGCTCGTGGGGCCAAACTCTCCTAAACTCTCTACTTTCTCTCTAAACTTCACTTGACTCTCGATCCTTAAACTCCGTGTGGGTTCTCCGGGATTTCCGCAAGGTCCGGGCTCAGCGTCCACTACTCACTCGTTGTGAGCTAGACAGCTGCCCTTATTCCTACTGTTGGAATTCCACTCACTCACTCCAACTCTAGCGCGTCCTAGCACCTTAGAGAATTTGGGGGAGGGGAGAACTTCTATTCCAAAATCCGGTATGTACAGGATATAAGGAACAATTATTTTTAGAATAATTGATGAGAAATATTGGTACCATATGGCACCTGCATACCTTATTAGGCAAAGTAATAAAAAAGGGTAACAGTAACAATAAAAGAATATCAATCAATATCTGAAATGATGGCAAAATATGAAAATAAGAGAAAATAAGCGATATCTCAATGGATTTACGGAATTAAGAGCCTAAATTGGAAATGTAGCCGGAGATAACTCTCACGCAGCCAATGAGCATTTTTACCAATTTATTAGACGCCGTGGGAACGAGTGAGGCTGGAATTCTGGGTTGCCGCTTGAGATTCCCACGCCCGCACATGCCCGTGACCTGCTGTGCCTAACTTCTCCAACACGGAACTCCGTCAAATCTCCACCGATTGGGACGTTCTTGGTATCGTCAGAATCGTACGAATTAGGACTATTTTTGGATACCAAATTTGTACCGAGTCGTCGCGTGAATGAAAGTTGTTTTCTGATCGTGGAAGTGGGTATCCGAGCCGAGTCTGTGCGTGGGCGATTATCCCGCCTACATACAGGCCTAGCTCTTATTGTGGTCCCTCACAATGCGCATGAGGTCCCCTAAGAATGAACTACTCGTCCTGCGAGCCTCGACAATTTAAGTTAAACCATAAATGTCTTCCCGTCCCCGCATAAATATTTCCAAACAAAATTTCCGTCCTCGTCCTATCGTACATGATCATCACTAAGTCCTAGTCATCTTGGACTTCCTTCCTCCTGAGGCCGATCTATCTGCCTCGCCACTCATCATCAGGTCAACCTCAAAGGATAACTTCCTTTGCACAGACCCCAAGGTTCCGGCCACCGAAGGCCTCACCTCATCTCTTTCTGCGACCTTTCCTTTCCGCATCTCCGTCTCTCTCATCGCCGATCTCTCTCGATGGAACTGTCCTCTCGCCAAGTCCATCCACACATCAAAACTCGAACTCGCCTGCCTCACACCGCCCTTCTTGTCTAAAGTAAGGTCTGGGTCGGGAGGTCTCAACTCTTCGAACTCGAACTCGCTTGTGTCACTGCTCTCGGACTCCATATAAAGACTACTCCGCCTGCTAGGAGGGTCTTTAGGCTGGGCCACTCCTGCCACTCGTTCTTCGCTATCGCCCGTCCACGTCTCACTAAACCTGCCGCACGGAACTTGGCTAAGCTCAAGGCCAGGAGGCCTTGGCTCTTTAAACTCATGCTCACGCGCTGCTCGTCCAAAACTGCTGTCGTACTCGGAAACTTCATGAATTGAACCGTCCATAATCCTCGAGTCACTGCGCTTGGCTGGAGGATCCGTTGACTGATACACTCGCGCCAACGTAACCGTGCTGTTGTCGTCTCTGACATCGTTCTCCGTCGTCCTATCTTCGTCCACCTGCCTCTCCTTGCTCGTTCGCGTACTCGCATTAACTTCCAACGTTCTCTCTTCCGACTCCACTGAGAAGCTGATGGTGCCCTGGACTAACGGGGGTGTGGAATTCCTTCGTCTCTCCGCTTCTAACTCTCGTCTCAACTTGGTCACTTCCGCTGCGTAGTTCTCGACTTTCTGAGCCATCTCGCGATCTAACTTGGGCTCCGTGGCTACGACTCTTGGAGATGGGGAATGTCGCCCAGGTGCAGGAGGTTGAAGATGGGGTGGACCTGACAGTCCTCCTGATCCTCGACTTCCTCTCTGGTGCTCCAGTCTCCGCCGCGTCGTAAACTTCCTATCTGGTTCTACTTCGTTCGCGCCGTTCACTCTTCCTGAATCCTTGGGGTGACTCTTCTGTGCCATGCTGCACTCAAACGAAAAGCTGCTCGTCCTTGTACTCTCGTTCTCGTCTAAAACTGTCTCCACAGATCGCGTAGGTTGTGCTTCAACGAATTCGATCACGTTGCCGCCATTCTGAATTGGTGGCTGCGCTGCGCTTAACTTTGACTCCGTGGGCGCTTCGATCTCTAGATCGCATCCCAACAACTGCTCTGAACTTCTCTGCGCTGGATCCACGACAATTGGGAATGTGTGCCAGGGCATGAAGTAGCCACAGGGGCCATACATCTTCCACAAGTCACTCCGCATTGCCGGAGGATCTTTCGACTGAGACACTCGCGCTCTAACCTCATCTCTAACCTCGTCATCGTCAGCCGTCTGATACGAATACTCGCTAGGACTGAAGCTGAGAGACTCCTCAACCACAGTAGAGCAAGGGCTGAGAGGCCTTAGCTCTTTAAACTCCACGTCCTCCTCGCTACATCCTGAATCGCTGAACTCTGAACTAGCTGCGCACTCTACGTCCATTTCGACTATGCTAGAGCGAAGGCTGGGAGGCCTAAGCTCTTTTGACTCTGTCTCTCGTTCTATCTCCTCTTTACTCGCAAACTCAACTTTCGCCTGAGGCAAACACTCTGGTATGCCAGACTCGATCACATCAAACTCGCGCGATCTGGGCACATCTGCTGCCTTCACATCCAATGAACTTTCGTCGCACTCCGTCGTGTCAAACTGAACTCGTCCTGGGGTGCCAACGTGGCCGCTGCTCATCGTACTCGACTCGTCGTCGTCAAACTTAAACGGTATCTCGTTACTTCCTTCATGTGCTCTGATCTGACTTCCGTGAACTTCATCTAGATCCGTCGTCTCATCAATCGAATCGACTGGGGGCTCTGGCGCAGGGACGATCGCGCTCTCTCCTGATCTAACTTCATGTCCGCTGGCCAGTGACTCCGTGTCATATCGTTCTCGTACGCAATCAACCTCATCGTCTCTACTCATCCGTTCCAACGACCCGTTACTAACTTGACTTTCGTGTCCATCTAGGTCGTCAATCGATGTCCGTCCGTCATACTGACTCGAATCCACACTTGGGATCGCGACATCTTCTCTAATCTCTGAGTCGACCGTCAACTTGGTGCTCATCGCACATGAACTACGACGAAGGCCTGGAGGCCTGAGCTCTTTAAGCTGGGGCTCTCGCACTCGGGGCCTCACTCGACTACCGTGCTCAATCGTCCGCGTAAGTTTCTCATCACTTCCTAGTTCCAAAACTCTCGGCACTACTCGATCTGCTGACGCGATCTCTGCATCTACGTTGACACAGATGGCGAAACCGTCCGCCCGTTCCGTCTTACTGACTGAATCACTCTGGGCCGAAGTATACTTGGCCCGATCGTCATCATCCTTAACTTCCGCGTCGAGGTTGGCTACCTCATTCGAAATCGATGAAACCTCTGTGTTCATCGCTTTCACTTCCACTTCCACTTCGTCTCCTTCTTCGTCCGTCATGTACTCTACCACGTTAGTCTGTCTCGTAGGAATTCTATGAATTTTCGTTGCAGCTGTCAACCGTTTGTTGAGTTCGTAAGACGTTCCAAAGATCATTCCCAACGGAATGGTGACATTCTGGTCCATCAAACGCTCGAACAAGTCGTCGTTCTTAACGCGATCTTGCAACTCTGACGCAAATCGATAGGCTGGACCCGACTTCTGTCTGAAACTCGCCCGCTTCGGGTCCTGCACTTCAACGTTCTCAGGCAACTTCTTAATCTTACTCGAGCTGGGAACTGCTCTCGGGTTCAACGCAACCTGAGGGTCAGCTCTTTGCTTTCCCTTGTCTCGCGAAGCTGGCTCTTCTCGATCTACATTCATTCTCGATGGACCACTCGACTCTGGAGACGGTCTCTTAAGAATCACCGGTGGCTTAGCCGGCAGTTCAACATACGCCCGACTGGGTGGCACTGCGTTCTTTCTCAACTCGTCTGGCGGTACTGTTCTAACTTGGGGTGGAGGTGGCTGAGGACTCATCGGCCGTTCATATGGCTTCGATCTCGACGACCTCCCCTTCTCTTTCTCCGTTCTCTCGGCTGGAAACACTTCATACACAGCATCTCCTAACCCTCCAAACTCGTGAATCGCTGTCTCAGACTTTCGCATCCATTCTAGATTGGCTGTGGTGCGCATCGCAGCTTTCTGTCTTATCAATCGCGCTAACTTCTCTTCTCCAAAAGCATGGGGTAGCCTACTGCCATCTGCCATGACCAATCTATTGGTGGCATCGAGCTTCAACACACCCGCCGCTAAGAATGCTCTCGTCTCGGGGCAATCCTTAACTCCGTGCCCCTCGTCCTCACACATGTAACATCTCAACGTACCGCCCGTGGACACTTGAGGTCCGACTCTAGGTCTTTCGTGCACTCTAGCTAGTTGAATCGTCAGCTTGCTAATCCTATCCGCCAGATCGTCCATGTTGGACTTGAAACCCGCGTCCGGCTCAACTCTGGGAGCTACTGCTGGCGCCTCTGGTCTCTTATCCACAGGCTTCGACGTCTCTGCCATCGCTGGCAACTTCTTCTGAACTCTCTTCACTGGTACCTTCTTCACAACCTCTTGGCGCTTCCGGACCGTGCGCTTCGTACTATCATCATCCGTCGACTCGGAATCTGAACTCTCGTCACTACTACCTGAACTCGACTCCGAATCACTGTCCGATCCGTCATCATCACTATCCGAATCAACGTCCGAATCGTCATCGCGGTACAAGTCATGCTTCAGCAAGTGCTTCGCCGTCGCAACAACTTGGCTCATCGATGGAGGCCTCGTAAGGTCCGTCCACCTACTCTGCGCTTTCAACTCGTGCTTGATTAGCTTTCTAAAACTCTTTGGCTTTATCCCTCTGAAGAAGCAATCGTCGCGCTCCACAGAGTGAAGAACTCCTCTCTCCTCAAGCGAAGAGGCCATTACCTGAAACTTCCGCCGATAATCGTCGAACTGGGATCGGCGTCTAATCTTGCGATCTTTCTTGACGAACTTCCTAAGGTCTCGCATTCTATATACTCGTTCTTCGTGCTCTGCAGGGTAGAAGTTCAGTAACTCCGACTTGAGCTGACTCCAAAGCTTAGTCTTAAACGAGGTGAGTGTCCTGATAAACTTCGCCTCCCGCTCCGTGCAGTATGAAACAACGTATTCACACTTCTGCACATTCGATAGCCGCGCACTCCGTGCCTGCAACTCGAACTCGTACAGAAACTTCTTCACCTTCTTTCCTCTAAATCTCGGCGCTTCTCTACTCCGTGGCCCTGGCATGCGCGTAACTGTTGTGTGAACAGTTGCGGCCGCGACTCCAGCCACACTCTGATGAATCCCATCCAACTCCGGTGCTTCGCCACCGTCATTCTCCAGGACTCCTTCTCCGTTCTCGTACTCTCCTTCTACTTCGTCAAACTCGTGCTGAGGACCGTGCTCCTCGGCTTGGAAACCAAATGGCTCAACGACGTGTGCCATGTAGATACCCAATGTACCCTTTCCTAGACTCGCGCAATGAAAATCCTTCTTGAACTTCCGTAAACTCCTTTCGTGAACTGATAAACTCCAAGTCCAGCGTCCGTAAGATCCAACTGAGACTTGATAAACTCCAACGATGCGTGAAAACTTGATGAAACGTCCGTTAAATGAGAGTGACCCCCTGTAAGGACCACCAGAAATGAAAGAGGGCTCGCGGCTCTCTATGCCGACTAAGCTCGTGGGGCCAAACTCTCCTAAACTCTCTACTTTCTCTCTAAACTTCACTTGACTCTCGATCCTTAAACTCCGTGTGGGTTCTCCGGGATTTCCGCAAGGTCCGGGCTCAGCGTCCACTACTCACTCGTTGTGAGCTAGACAGCTGCCCTTATTCCTACTGTTGGAATTCCACTCACTCACTCCAACTCTAGCGCGTCCTAGCACCTTAGAGAATTTGGGGGAGGGGAGAACTTCTATTCCAAAATCCGGTATGTACAGGATATAAGGAACAATTATTTTTAGAATAATTGATGAGAAATATTGGTACCATATGGCACCTGCATACCTTATTAGGCAAAGTAATAAAAAAGGGTAACAGTAACAATAAAAGAATATCAATCAATATCTGAAATGATGGCAAAATATGAAAATAAGAGAAAATAAGCGATATCTCAATGGATTTACGGAATTAAGAGCCTAAATTGGAAATGTAGCCGGAGATAACTCTCACGCAGCCAATGAGCATTTTTACCAATTTATTAGACGCCGTGGGAACGAGTGAGGCTGGAATTCTGGGTTGCCGCTTGAGATTCCCACGCCCGCACATGCCCGTGACCTGCTGTGCCTAACTTCTCCAACACGGAACTCCGTCAAATCTCCACCGATTGGGACGTTCTTGGTATCGTCAGAATCGTACGAATTAGGACTATTTTTGGATACCAAATTTGTACCGAGTCGTCGCGTGAATGAAAGTTGTTTTCTGATCGTGGAAGTGGGTATCCGAGCCGAGTCTGTGCGTGGGCGATTATCCCGCCTACAGCGCACTTCCTGCACCGCACGCTCCGCGCGCCGCATGATCCGACCCCGGATCCCACCTCATGTGACTTCCGGGTATCCCTGGAAGTTTTCGCCATATTGGGGCCACTGTGGGAAAGTGAGAAGTTAACCTTCTTCTCACTTTCTTACCCACAGTAGGCAAGTGTAGCCTACTCTTCATTTATCTATACACTTTCTTACCCACAGTAGTTATGCCCTGAGATGGGCTGTGTTTACAGGCTAGACTGTGGACTGTAGAGAGGGGTCATGGGGACCCGGGGTCCGTCCCCTGACACTCAGACAGAGACCCATCCAT